ATTTTAGTTGGGATTGTACGGGGGCGAAATATCCTCTGCTTTCCGTACTCCTTGTACGCTGAGCTCCTCTTGACGGCGTCTACCTGACAACACAGAAACAGTGAGCTGCCCGGCGGTGGAGTGCCGGATAGACCCTCCGACGATCAAGTCAGTCCACTTAAGGAAGAAGAAGAAGACTGAGAGGGAGTATTCTCTTTGGGAAAAAAGTTGCATACCTCTAACGTTCGTCTTCCTTCCTCTTTTAAGGCTGGCCATGCAGCCTCAAGATTATGCGCGCACTATCTCTGTTGTCCTTCCCAAGACAGGTGGCAGTGCTCGCCTCTCACCACCTTACGCATGTAAAGGCTTAGTCCTCCCACCAGTACATGCAGAACTGTCTAATGGTATTGAGGCATGTGTGGAGCAGATGTCCCCTCCCTCGTGCCATTGGCCCAGGTGGCACGCCTGACTGCAGTACCACGACCGGCCTATCTCCCACGAAGAACTATCACTACAGGCGCTCAACCGCACTATGCCCCACCGGACTGCCCCTTGGCAAAGGGGCGGCGGGGTGATGCTCATGGGCCGGGCAGGTATTGACCGATGTATCGTGGCATACCGGTCGCGAGGCATGCCAGCCTCCGTCCGTTCTACCTTCATCCGAGGTTATCTTGAATCTTCCCATCTCGGCTCACCGGTCGGAGACGCGCCATCCCTCCCTTGTCCACAGTTTAGCCCGAGCTATCCGTAGCCCAGTCTTGCCACTTAGCTGTGTGCACCGCCGAATGTTTGCTAGTCGTAGCTTGGCCAGGCTTAGTTCCCGCCCAGTCAGCCAATCCTTTAGACCGAGCAAAACAAACCCGTCCAATCTCTGCTCGGCTGTACTAACGGCGCAAATCTCCCCTCTCAATTGCCCCTTAATCCCATCCGACCTGGTCATGACTGGGGTTACCATCGTGACCGAGCTAACGGATTGAGTTGCTCCATCATCAAGCCGAGCATGATTGGGGGCAAATCTGTGGCCGAGCTGTCCTGTTTGGTCGGCCATTTCCTCCGCAGTCTCATCAAAGGTCGTACAACCGTACTGACGGCCGCATTTCCAACGCCACGTGGCTTCACGCCACTAGGTTGTACAACCAGCTGTTCTGCACGCGCAAAATTCAAACGGCGCAGTCGTTTAGGGTTCCTTCCCCCCTCTTTTGTATTCCAACGAAGGGCCTAAACCCTTCACTTTTCACCTCCTCTTCCACACAAGCCCTAAACCTCCCAAGCTTTCGAACCACTGCCATTGTTGTTTCTGTGCCATATCCCCCATTTCAAATCCTTTTGAAGGCCACAATCGAGCTCTCGAGGTCGCGTTCACCCTCACACCTGTCCTTCTGGTAAGTCACACTACCTCCCCTCGCATCTCTTGCTTCTACTTCTCAAAGTTTTTCCATACATGTTCTTCATTCCCGTGTCACTATGCTTCGTATTTTTGTTTATTTGCGGGGCCATTAGAGTTGCTTTCCCTTGCGTAGATCTTGCACACCCTAGGGCAAACAAGAATAGTACGAATGGATGGGGCTTTCATACCCCTTGTTTCTCCTGGATTCGAATGAGTTCGTCCTATCTCTGGGATGAACAGTTTGAATCTGGGTAGAACCGAGCAAAATGCTCGTTTAGATCCATAAATGACACATCGGTCGAGCAAAAACTGGTTTGTGACTTCTCATAGAGGTTGTAGCCGAGCCAAACTACCGATTAAAACTTGGTAATAGTACTGAACCGGGCGAAAACTTGAGCTCGTTACTTAGGCCTTGACCGAGTTAACTCGTCAAGTAGAATCGACCGAGCTATAACTTTAACCGAGCCAGCTTCGGGGAGTTAGAATCGAACTAGGAAATCGACCAAGTAGAATACCCAAGGTAGGGGTCGAACCGGCCAAACACCAATAATCCCTTCACTGAGCCAATTCCCATAGGGGCCGTGCAATTTATGCCGTGCTAACCCTTGGAATTATTTTTTAACAATGCAGAACAAATAGGACCGACCAAGCCAGTCCAGCACTAACTGGTGGAGCTCAGAGTCCGAGCAGACCCACCAGCATTTTTGACCGAGATATACACTATATCAAATAAGACCGAGATAGATGGGGAAGTACCGCTATATGGTTAGCTCGCCCAATGCGATGGCCGAGTTTCGCAGGGATTACAACATCCCAGATGATGTCATCTTAGAGCTCGCCAAAAAGGGAGATACCCCTTGGGGAGATCTAGACCGGTGCCCCTTTACGGTCGTGTCAATAGTAGAGGGAGGGCTCCGCTTCCCGGTCCAGCCTTTGATCTGTGAGTTTTTGAGGCAGACAAGGCTTTGCCCGACCCAAGTTTCAAATAACACTTACAAAATAATAAACGGGGTCGCCGAACTGAACCGGATGCTCGGTCTCAATCTCGGTCTGGCTCAAAGTGAAGAAGGGCCGAGCAAAATTAATAGAGGGTAACCCGGACAAGGAGACCAACGACGACAACTTCCTGTGGGTGTCCGGTAGCTATGAGGACACCGAGGCACCCATACTGAGATGGTATATTAGAAAGGATTTTGGTGGTGCCGGTGAGTTACTCGGCTGACCGTGCTATTTTCTTTATGCATCAATTATTTTCCATGCCGATCTAACACTTGTCTTCTTTTTGCAGATAAGCACCTAGCAGCAGACTACTACCGGGCCAACCAAGAGGCCATCAGAGTCCTACTGCGCCATCCTGCCGAGGAGAGGGAGGCTTCGAAATTGCTCGACTTCGATCAGACCTACCATTACACCGCGCCGCGTAGGAGCCAGGTTACCGATTTTCTGCGTGTGCCAACCCCAAAACCGGATCCAAACCTACCACCGATCAGGCTTATTCCACTCACCGCCGAGCAAGAAATGGCGAAAATCAGGGCCATCAAGTCCTTGATCGCCGGGGAAGAAGAAGAGCCCCAGAACCAAGAGGCAACCGGTGGGACATCCTCCACACCCGCCGTGCAGGGAGACGGGGCAGTGCTGGCGCTTGCCAGCGAGCAACCGGCTAGTCGGTCCAAAAAGCGGCCGAGGAACGAGAAAATCGGGCCGTGTCTGGCGGATGAAGACTCCACCGATCACATCTCTACCGAGCTCGGGGACCAGACCGAGCAACCACGGACCAGCAAATCCATGGGCCCAGCCCCCCCAGTCTGGGCACCCAAGTTCAAATACCAGGGCCGAGCAGTTTCTGCTGAAGACTCTGTGTACGCGGACAAGGACTACTCGCTTGGTTTCAATTTGACCAAGGGGTTGATCTTGCCCGCCGATATGAAAAAACGTGACGAGCTTTCCGACCTTAAGGTCCTCCGCTCGGCAGCGAAATCCATAGTGCTGGTAAGTTCTCCATTTTTTACGTCAAACTGTTTGCTTGGTTTTTGCGCGGTTTTTCGAATACTGAGGATCTCTCACTTGTTTTCATGCCACGCAAAAGAACTACTTGGCCCACGACCGGATGATTAAAGTGTGGCAGAGCCTGCGGGATGCCATAGCCGAGAATAAGGCTCAAAAAGACGAGATAGCGAAGCTCAAAGCAGCGCAGGAAGCAGTTGAGGCCGAGCGAGATATCCTGAGCGAGAAGGTTGACCGAGCTAACGAGGACAAACTTCAGGCCGTGAAGTCGACGAAGGCTCGGTATCTCACCGAGCTGAGGAAACTGCGCGATGCGCACAAAGCCGAGAGGGACAAGGTCGTAGATGATGCAGAAGACCGGGGATACGCACAGGGCGAGAAGACCTACGAACGGCAGGTCCAAACGACCAAGGACATCTTTTTCCAATGCGGCTGGAAAGCTGCCGTGGAGAAAGTTGGTCTTGGTCAGGATTCTGACATGTTCATCAATCCACCTGCTGCCTATATCCCGGTCTACACGCAGGCGTACTCCAAGGCCACCCAAAACCAGCTCATCACGGATGCAAGGAAAGAGGCCGAGGAAGAAGCCGCCACCGCGAAACTAGCCAAACAAAATCCTCCCGAAGCATCTCCAAGTGCAGAGGAAGAGGCTGATCGGGAAGTTGCCATGGTGGAAGGAACTGACGATGACGCCAAAGAAATCCTGTCCGAGCAAAATGCGGAAGAGGCCGAGCAAACAGTGCAAGTCGCCGAACCAACGGTTGACGTAGATTTGGATTGACCCTTTTTTGTTGTTTTTTTTTTTTTTGTAACCGGGCTATGTTCCCCCCGTCTTGTACTTAAATTTCCATTATCAATGAAGACTTTCGACTTTTTGCTCGCTCATCTTCTATTTATGTTCGGTTTGCGTCTGTATGGACTCCTTAATTCAATTGATGAATATTCACAACTGCCAGGTCGGCTGTGCCGCACAATTTGACGAGCTAAAATCGCCTCAAACGTTTGCTAAGTAGTAGTTCGGTTCCATGAACTTTCAAATGAACTGACGTCTCTTTCGGGCAAAATATGCTCGGCCTTAATTAGTTTGGAAACTTCATGCAATTTCGACGTGACCGAGCAAAATCAGTTCGCCTTTTAAGTTGGGCAAGCCGCCAACGTTTCTTTGAGGCCGAGCAAATTCAGCTCGGCTTCTTATCGTTTGGACAAAATTCCAACATTTCGAATTCTGCCGAGCAAGCTCCGCTCGTTTTCCATATTGGGCAAGACACCAATATGTCCACTGGGCCGAGCAAAATCAGCTCGGCCCTTACACTGGGCAAAACACCAATGTTTCAGCTGAGTTGGTCATGACACCAACATGTCAACCGGGCAAGCAAAACCATCACGGCCCTAAGGCGAATGGGGCCTTATGCCCATTACATCTTTTGACAATGCAACTGTTTGTGCGGTTTGCATTTATTCCGGCGAGAGTAAATCAGTCCAGTCCCATTCAGGTCGGTCTCTTGCCCCTGGTACTCATAATTGCCTTGCGTCCTTGCGAATCCATTGTACAAAGATGTGATTCCAAACAACAAGAGGGCTATTTTTTATTACAAAAGCATTGCTATCCTTTACATTAAGTGCCAAAGGGCTAAAGGTCTAAAAAAGCTAAAAAACACAAGCAAATTATATCTTAAAAGTAAAAGACCTTAAGGTTGGCCGTATTCCATGGTCTGGGGACAGCCTTGCCATCTATATCTTCCAGATGGTATGCCCCTTTACCGGCAAGACCAATCACTTTGTATGGTCCTTCCCAATTTGCACCGAGCTTTCCCTCACCAGGGACCACTGTGTTGCCAAGCACCTTTCTTAATACCCAGTCCCCAATCTTGAACATCCTGGGATGCACAACCTTGTTATACTTTTTGGAGAGTTCTTGTTGATAAGCTGCTATGTGGATCAATGCTCGCTCCCTTCTTTCTTCAGCAAGGTCTAACTCCAATGCCAACGCTTCACTATTCAGATCTGGCTAGAAACCTTCAGAGCGGATGGTTGGCATGCCAATTTCCAACGGGATGACGGCCTCCATGCCGTAGGCCAAAGCAAAAGGTGTTTCCCCGGTTGACCGCCTTGGGGTAGTGCGGTACGCCCAGAGCACATTAGGGAGTTCTTCAGCCCACTTGCCCTTAGGTTTCTCAAGCCGTTTCTTCAGCCCGTCCAGGATGGTCTTGTTTGAGGCCTCTGCTTGACCATTTGACTAAGGATAGCCGGCGTCAAATTGTAGAACTCGATCTTCAACTCTTCGCAAAATCCGCGAAAGAGCTTACCATCAAATTGAGCGCCGTTATCCGAGATGAGGGCCTTGGGGATGCCGAAACGGGTGATCACGTTTTGCCATACAAACTTCTTCACGTCCTTTTCCCTTATGGTCGCTAGTGGCTCGGCCTCAACCCACTTGGTGAAATAGTCGGTGGCGGCGATGAAGAATTTACAGTTTCCCGGTGCAGTTGGGAGTGGCCCAACAATGTCCAACCCCCAAAGAGCGAACGGCCAAGGACTTGTGAGGGGGAGCAAATCTCTAGCCGGCTGGTGGATCTGGTGGGCGAACTTCTAACACTTCTCGCACCTGCGAACATATTTTTGCGCATCTGCCTGCATACACGGCCACCAATAACCGTGAAAAATTGCACGGTAAGCCAAGGACCTGCCCCCAGTATGGCTGCCACAGATGCCCTCATGTATCCCATAGAGGAAAGCCTCCACCTTGGTGGGGTGGACGCATTTCAAATACGGGCCGGTGAAAGATTTCTTGTACAAGGCCCCGGACGGGGAGAGCCAAAACCGCTCTGATTTTGTCCGGATCTTATGTGCCGCCTTCTTTTCTTCTGGTAGAATTCTATCTTTCAGGAAGGCGATGATAGGATCCATCCAAGAAGGGCCCAAGTCGGTGCAGAGTACCTCGATTGATTCTGGTTCCTCAATGCTTGGCCCTGGTAAAAATTCTATCATCAAAGGGTTAGGAAAAGCTGTCTGGGCAGAAGCAAGTCCGGCCAATTCATCAGCCGCGCTGTTGTCCTCGCGGTCGATTTGTTCCAACCTTACGACAGCGAACTTCTTGATCTCTGCGCGTACCAGCGCCTGATACTTGGCCATTCTTTCGTCCTTCACTTCATACTCCCCTGAGACCTGATTGACCACCAACTTGGAATCACTAAATACCATAAGGGCTGTGGCTTTCATTCTCAGTGCGCTTCTTAGTCCGGCAAGGAGAGCTTCATACTCAGCCTCGTTGTTGGATGCTGGGAAGCCGAGTGTAATTGCCTGTTCGATGACCAACCCGTCCGGCGAGTTCAGCACGATGCCCAGCCCGGCCCCATGTCTATTGGACGCCCCATCAACGAAGAGCTTCCACATCTCGCCAATAAACAGCTTCTAGCAATCAGAGGGATTCTGGGAGCTTCTCATTTCCAAGTCTCTGATCGATTCATTTTGGTCCCTTTCCTTGTCTTGGTTGGGTTCATCGTCGTCGAACTTTGTTAGTCCGGTCATGCTAGTCCCTTGTCCTACTTGCGAACCAACACTTGCTTCTGCTGCCAGAATCATGGGTTGCGCTAAATCCGCACCAACCAAATCAACCGAGCATACTGGATGCATCCCAGGGGCAAATTCCGCCACAAAGTCGGCAAGTGCTTGAGCCTTGATTGCGGTGCGCGGTCGGAACTTGATGTCGTATTGTCCTAATTCCACGGCCCATTTCAAAATTCTTCCAATGAAGTCTGCCTTTTCAAAAAGCACTTTAAGCGGGAACTCGATTAACACAACTATCGTATGGGCATGAAAATAGTGTGCCAGTTTTCTTGACGCCATCATTAGGGCCAGCGCCAATTTTTCCAAGGGAAGATACCTCGTTTCGGCTGGGAGAAGAGTCTTGCTTACATAGAAGATCGGTAAGTGCTGGATGCCTTCAGCACGCACCAATACCGCGCTGACTGCATGTTGAGAGACAGCCATGTAGAGGTACAGCTCTTCGCATGGCTGAGGTGTGACCAAAATAGGGGCTGAAGAGAGATACGCTTTCAGGTCTACTAGCGCGCGGTCGCACTCGTCATCCCAGAAGAACTTGGCCTTCAGAGTTTTAAAGAAGGGCCTGCAACGATCAGAAGACCGGCTGATAAATCTGTTCAACACGGCTGCCATCCCGGCGAGATGTTGCACGTCCTTCGTGGAGTTGGGACGCTCCAGGTCTTGTATGGCCTTGATTTGTGATGGGTCAGCCTCAATCCCTCGATTTGTGACCAGAAAACCCAGAAACTTTCTGGTGCCAACTCCGAAGGAGCACTTTGCGGCGTTCAAGCGAAGCCTGTGGAGCTTAAGTATGGCGAACATCTCTGCAAGGTCGGCGAGGTATTGAGACTTCTCCTTACTCTTCACCACCATGTCGTCGATATAGGCCTCCATTGTTCGGCCCAGAAGATGAGCGAACATCTTCGTTACCATCCTCTGAAAAGTAGCCCCGGCGTTCTTTAGTCCAAACGGCATGACTTTGTAGCAATATAAGCCTCTGAGGGTTGTGAACGACGTGATCTCTCTGTCCGGTTTATACATGGCTATCTGGTGGTAGCCGCGATATGCGTCCAGGAAGCTAAACCTCTGATGACCAGCGGTTAAGTCCACCAGCTGGTCAATTCGTGGGAGGGGAAAGCTATCCTTGGGGCAAGCTCGGTTGACAGTCTTGTAGTCAACGCAGACTCGCCACTTGCCGTTCTTCTTCAGAACAACCACCGTGTTGGATATCCACCGAGGGTACTGCACCTCCTCAATGGCCCCCGCTTCCAACAAATTCTTACTTCTTCTGCGACCACTTCAACATGGTACAAGGCTTAGCGGCGCGTCCTTTGAATGACTGGCCGTGTATTAGGGAAGACATTCAACTGATGACAAATGAAGCTCGGGTCGATGCCAGGCATGTCGTAAGACGTCCAGGCAAAGGCCTCCAAATTGGAAACCAAGAAGTTTACATAATCCATCCGCTCGGCGCTAGACAAGGATGATCCTAAGAAGAAGAATTTAGTGGGATCGTTCTCGTCAATGTGCACTTCTACCAAATCTTCGACCGACTTTTCCTCGGCCTTTTTTCCTACATCTTCAAGGACCTCTTTGCCCTCGGGCCCTTCAATCATTTGGACGAACCCTTTGGCCACTCGGCTGCCATTTACTGCAACGAAGCATTGTTTCGCCATCACCTGGTCCCCCCAAACTTCCTCTATTTGTCCGCTTGGTGCCGGAAAGCGCATGACTTGGTGGAAGGTTGAAGCCACTGCTTGCATGGCGTGCAGCCAACCCCTGCCTAAGATCAAGTTGTAAGTTGATGGAACTTTAAGCACCCAGAACTCTACTTGCTTTACGACCGATCCCGCTTTGACCGGCAAAATAATCTTTCCGATTGGCCATTCTGGCTGCGAGTTGAAGCTGACCAAAGGGGACGTTGCGGGGGCCAAGTCCTTTTCTTCCAACTTCATTTGTTTAAACGCGTCATAATACATAATTTCTACCGAACTCCCCTGGTCGATCAAGATTCTCTTGATGTCAAAATCTTTGACTCGAAGAGTGACTACTAAAGCATCGTTGTGCGGCATCTGAACTCGTTCCAAGTCCTTGGTTGAGAATGAAAGGATGTCCCTTTCTTCGGTCCTTCCTTTTTTCACAGCGGGCTGAACAGAGAGCACTTCCCTCATGTGCTCGGCCTTCTTGATCATCCCTCTCAGCTCGCAAACCCTGGCCGGTTCAATGATACCGTGGATGGCGTTGATTACACCTTGCGGGGGCGCTTCTAGGGCGGCCAGGCCGTTTGGCTCGGCTTGGTCCGCTGGCGTGGCCTTGATGCCCCCATCTATGTATTGGTCAAGATGCCCCGCCGCCACCAACTCCTCTAAGTGTTGTTTGAGCGGCAAGCAGTCCTCTGTTCGGTGCCCCCGTTCTTCATGAAATGTGCAGCGATATTTTGAATTGAAGCCCCTCTGCGCACTCCCCAACTTGGCCGGCCAACGGACGAAGGGTTCACCTCGAATCTCGCTCAAAATGCGGTAGATGGGGATTTTAAATACCGTGGTGATCCCAATCCGCGCCTTCAATTTTCTTTTGGCATCCTCCGCCGCATCACGGGAAGGGTCAGCCCGGTCGTTTCGGCGGCCCTTGTTTCTGTCATCACGGTTTGAACCATGGCGCTGGTCTTTCGACCGGTTGTTCGGGCGGTTATCCTCCTGCCAAACCGAGTGAACTTTTCCCGCAACCCTTCTGTCCGCAGCGACCGGATTAGCCTTCTCGGTCGCGGAGGCGGCATCTTCGTCTACACGAATGTGCTCATTGATCCGCTGCATCAATGACTCCATGGTTGTAGGCTAATGCATCGTGAGTGAATCTCGCAACCTATGTCCGACTGGGAGACCCCGTTTGTACTGAGTGATCGCCAGATTAGTGGGGCAATCGAGCATCTCATTGTAAGTTTCCCAGTATTTCGCATTGTATGCCTTCAACGAACATCCAGACTCCGTCTTGACGCCCAGGAGATAGTCGACCTCCTTCGGCGTTTGTGTGTTGGTTTTGAATCTGGTGACGAAGGCTTCCGCTAGTTGCTGCCACCCCTCAATACTCCCCTTCGGGAGCCTTTCGAACCATTTCAAACCCAACTCTCCCAAGCTTGCTGGGAATATGAGGCACATCAAGGCCTCATTCCGCCGGTGTCCAGTCATTACTTGCCGGTAATGGCTCACATGCATGTATGGATCCGTCTTGTCGTCGTACAGGGTGAACTTTGGCTGGTGGAATCCGGCGGGTAGTGGCGTACTCTCAATCTCTGGGGACAGCGGCGTGGCAGTAAGTCGCGCCAGCTCTTTGTCCACCAGCGCAGGGGCCATCACTTTGGGGGCTGGCATCGCCACTTCCTCACTGTAATGAACTGGAACACTTAACCTCTGCAATGCCGGCACTCTCCGAGCCTCCCGACGGCGCGCCCTCTCCTCCAATACATCCCTCAAATCCCTGGAACGTGTGGAGAAAGAGGATCCCAATGTCGGCGTCGGGTGTGAGGGGCGGTACGTGCTGTCGCGAGAGAGGGACCTGCCCTCTCCTTGGTCGGAACCTCCAACTCCATAGTTCCTGGTGATGGAGAGAGAGTGGGTCCTCCCCTGGCGGCGACTGCTGCAACGAGGGGACGGGGTGCGCTCACTGAGGTTGCCCTCTCCAGCAACACCCTTCCCTTTAATCTGGCGTTTCAGCAGCTCCATCTCCGCCGCCATCTTGCGAATGACGGCGTCTTGGTCCCTGAGTTTGTGCTCCAGGTGCTGCGCATGGGACTCCCCCCGGCGTCGGTGGCCCTCAGGACTCTGCGAGCGATCAACACTCCTTCCGCGTTTGTCTCGGGCACTTCGCGAAGGAGTCTCTAGGCCCGCCATGGCTGGAATATTCGGAGGACCCTCTCTCAAGCGAACGTACTCAGGTGTGACGCCATCGACGACGGACAGCGGGGCTTCGCCATTGTTGGTCATGGAAATGGTCGAAGAAGCTTTAAGAACAAGGGTTGAGTATCAAAAACTTCCCACAGACGGCGCCAATTGTACGGGGGCGAAATATCCTCTGCTTTCCGTACTCCTTGTACTCTGAGCTCCTCTTGACGGCGTCTACCTGACAACACAGAAACGGTGAGCTGCCCGGCGGTGGAGTGCCGGATAGACCCTCCGACGATCAAGTCAGTCCACTTAAGGAAGAAGAAGAAGACTAAGAAGAAGTATTCTCTTTGGGAAAAAAGTTGCATACCTCTAACGTTCGTCTTCCTTCCTCTTTTAAGGCTGGCCATGCAGCCTCAAGATATGCGCGCATTATCTCTGCTGTCCTTCTCAAGACAGGTGGCAGTGCTCGCCTCTCACCACCTTACGCGTGTAAAGGCTTAGTCCTCCCACCAGTACATGCAGAACTGTCTAACGGTATTGAGGCATGTGTGGAGCAGATGTCCCTTCCCTCGTGCCATTGGCCCAGGTGGCACGCCTGACTGCAGTACCACGACCGGCCTATCTCCCACGAAGAACTATCACTACAGGCGCTCAACCGCACTATGCCCCACCGGACTGCCCCTTGGCAAAGGGGCGGCGGGGCGATGCTCATGGGCCGGGCAGGTATTGACCGGTGTATCGTGGCATACCGGTCCTGAGGCATGCCGGCCTCCGTCCGTTCTACCTTCATCCGAGGTTATCTTGAATCTTCCCATCTCGGCTCACCGGTCGGAGACGCGCCATCCCTCCCTTGTTCACAGTTTAGCCCGAGCTATCCGTAGCCCGGTCTTGCCACTTAGCTGTGTGCACCACCGAATGTTTGCTAGTCGCAGCTCAGCCAGGCTTAGTTCCCGCCCAGTCAGCCGATCCTTTAGACTGAGCAAAACAGACCCGTCCAATCTCTGCTCGGCCGTACTAACGGCGCAAATCTCCCCTCTCAGGGATTGGTCTAGTGTTCAGTGCAACCCAACCTCAGATCGTCTGTCAAGCCTTTTGCCGAACTTCTAACAACAAACCATTGTCTAATTTCCCCAGACCTTTCCTAGCAATAATTTATTTCATCAACCATAATCAAGCTTGCGTGACAATAACTTCGTAAGAACATTAAAAACTTCAATGAAAGTTTTCTACATCAATCTCTTGAAAATAATTAAGCATAAATAAACATAAAAATTTATGTTCCTTAATCACATTACAAATGCAGGATATATAACAATTCCTACTTTGGAAAAAATGAAAATTGGAAGAAACTCACATACTATGTTTTATAATAGAGAGAGAATATTATATTATGTGTATATTCAATATTATGTTGAATAATGAATGTAACAATATATACAAGACTCCTTTATAAAAGAGGAGATAAACCAAAATATAATAATCCTAAATATGATAATAAATATAATACGTTATATATGATAAATAGAATATTTAGTTATTATATTTAACACCCCCCTCAAACTAAAGTAGGGATACCAACTTGAGTTTGGAGAGAAAAACTAAAACATGAAATAAAACTAAAAAAATAAAATAAAAGGCAAATAAATTACAAAACCCGAACCGGAGTATAAGGCAGTTGAGATAGATCAGAGGCCGGAGCTAATGTCAGGAGATAGCTTATGGTCGTGTCAGACCGTTGTAAGAACTAACCGGAACTAATGCCGGGGACAATTTAAGGTCATGCCGGACCATTGTAGGAACTGACTGGAATCAATGTCGAGATAGTTTAAGAAGTCATGCCAGACCGTTGTAAGGAAGCAATACATATTGAACCAGCAGACGTGGCACACACATAACTTATGACGTGATGTTGAACGATGATGACAACATATAGCATTGTGTGCTAGGGGGCGACTTACGTGGTGCGCCAATAAACGACTTAGGTGATGCGCCACATGGGGCAGCTTGGGTTGTGCGCCAGGGGAGGCTTGGGTGATGCACCACAGGGCAGTTTGAGTTGTGCGCCGTAGGAACGGCTTAGGTGATTCACATGGA